AAATTTAACTATAAGTATTGATAGTTATAAGTTTTTAATAAATAACAATTTCAGAAATTTTATTTAATAAATTTTTTTCAACAATTGGACCCAAAATGCAAAAGATTACATGTTTTATCGACTGATGAGCGAAATCAAGTTGAATAAACTTTACGTGCTATGTATACAGAATTTAAGGTGCGGCATTATTTATCTAAACAAGTTACTTCATCGACATCCAAATTAGTTTCTGTAACTAATTGAAATGAAATACAAGCTTTCCGCGAAGGGTTTATTAAATCTGTTTTTTATCAAGCTCACAAAACCAAGATAATAACAAAGTTACAAATTATCTTGCTCCTGAGCTTGATTTCAAGAGAGATCCTATGGTATGGTGGTCTTTACAAAAACAGCAATTGCCGATTTTAAGTGAATTTCTTGCATTCCTGCAACAAGCACACCAATGGCTAATTTTTATTTAGGATTTATTTATTTACAACGAATTTTCCTTTATCTCTACATTATACTTATATTTTATTTCTAGCTCTTTAACGCTTAACTCCAATTTCATTTTATACTCGAGTTCTAATTTATATTTTTCTAATGCTAATTTTATATTTTCTAATTCGATGTGTTTTTGATGTTCAAATTTTTCACGCTCGAATTGTAATTTTTCTTTTTCTAAATCGTACTGTTGTTGTTTTGTTTGTGCAGATAATTTTTTACTTTCACTAATTGTGGTCATTGATTGAATGTAAATTTCATCATCTTCATTTAACTTACTACGTTTCTTTCTTTTCAATGAACGATCTTTTTCTGGTTGATTAATGTTTTTAGAAACCTATTAAAAATTAGTATAGAATTGATAAAAAAAAAACTAGAAACATTGAGATATTGGCCCTTTTTAAAGTACAACTTCCCCGTTACGGCAGTTACTTAGATAGGCAAGTCACGGGGCGTAAATTTCTATTTGTAGTAAGCCTAACATAAAAATAGTTTTGAAAAAAGACTATGTATTGTTCTTTTCGAATCTATTTTTATTTCGGGCTTACTACAAATAGAAACTTACATCCCGTGACTTGCCTATCTGAGTAACTGTCATAACAGGGAAGTTGTACTTTAAAAAGGCCCATGAATGATGAAAGATTAGAATTTTTTTGTTTAAAATAGTTAACAATATGAAGGGATGATTTACCTGTGTTAATGTGATAATAAATGACGATAATACAGTGAAAATATGAACCCACATTTACTCTTATACCCTTGCAACATCAGATAATAATGCATTAAATAAATTACAAATTTTACATGCTACTATATTAGGTTCAACCAATCAGATTTCATAAAGGGTAATATCCCAAAATGTTTCGATATTGTACGTACTATTTTTCTGAATTAGAATCGAGTAATTCTTGTATGTCTTTATATTTTGATTAAATAACTATTGATTTTTTTTGAATTAAATTCATTAAAATGATTAAAATAAATATCATTATTTTTGTTTAAAAAAAATTCGAGGTTTTGAAAAATTTGGGTCGGCAGGTAATGAAAAACGAAAATTTAACTTTCTAATAGGCAGGACAGATTTCTTCTAAATTTAAGCAAGTTTTCTTGATAACCACCTAACAAAATTCGATAAAATTATAATAATGTATAGAATTAAAATAAAAAAATTCATGTAATTTGATTAAAAGGTTATCGAGACCACTTCTCTCAAAGTTTAAAGAAAAATTAGCTTACTAATAGAAGGGACAAATTCTTTCTAAAGTTTTACCTAACCAAATTCGATGAATTATTTTTTACTTTAATTCTACACATTCATACCGAATTTAATCAGGTAATTATCGAGAAAACTTCAAAGTTGTTAAAAAAATTTAGCTCAATTTATTGATAGACGGAACAAGTTATTTCTTTGAGCGAAGTTTTCTTGACAGTTACTTCCCAAATTCAATGAAT